TGCCTTGCCAAACAAAAATGCAAATTGCGGGGCCCTCAATAATTGGTCATAATAAAATACTTAAAATTTGGGATGGGCCGTTTAGCGAATTTTACGGCCTTCCTCAAAGATAATAACGCGTTAGACTTTTAGGCGCGATTTTTAATTAAATTACATTCTTCAATTCGGGTGCGCATTTATGCGACCCAAATCCAAATCTCAACGAAATCGGAATGTATTAACAACCACGAGTGCATTGATTGCGACGTGGTTCGAGATGCATTTTCATGACGTTGCAATTCCATAAAAAAAATAATAAATAATAATAAAAGCGGTTTAAACCTAATAAAAGCACACAAGTTATAACATGTATTAAAATCAGATATTTAGCCATTATAACAATTTAAGCGACCGTGCTAGAACCACGGGATCCGTGGGTGCCTAACTCCTTCCCTCGGGTCAACAGAATTCCTTACTTAGAATTTCTGGTTCGCAGACTTCATTTGGAAAGTCGAAAATTTCCTCGATTTGGGATTCAAGATAAATCGGTGACTTGGGACACCAAAAGCCAAATCTTTCCCAAGTGGCGACTCTGAATTAAATAAATAATCTCATTTCGAATATTGTCACTTAAATTGGAAAAACTCCCTCACGCATTTATCCTTTGGGGTAGGCGCGCAAAAAGGAGGTGTGACAATTACTTAAATTTTATTGTATTGTATCGTTTAAATCTGTCGTTACCTAACAATAAAAAGCGATACTTTATAAAACGACAGATTTGGTGTGGTAGCATCGTTTCCTTATTCTTTCTCTCATCTTGCCTTTTTTTGTTATTAAACAATCCTAATTTATCATTTAGCCTACCTTTTTATTTAATAATATTACCTCGTCCCTTACCTTTTCTTTATAATATTGCAAGTTTATTCTTCATATTGTTAGTGCATGACATCATGAAACAACGGAAAATAATATAATCTAACAAAATATTGTATACATCAAAACGATACAATACAACACAATATACAATATTATACGATACATTATGAAACGATACATAACAAGCATCCAAACAAGCTGTTAGTGGACAGAGTTATTTGATACATATACTGATAAGAGAAAACATATATCCTATGAAATTAATTGAAATGCACGCTAGCTGGCTCGACTTCATTATTCTAAAAAAAAAGGGAACTACAACAACAGCAACACCAATAATGATAATTAATTAAAAAATAATGGTGATTTAGAAAGTACCTTTTTGAAAAAATGTTCCGCAGAACAAGGGGTTAATTAGTGCATGTCTTGCGTCAATATATTGACACATCAATCTTTTTACCGAATTTAATGCAACTAAATTTATTCTGATTAGATACGCACGTCATTCAATTATTCAGGCTTTTTATGTCTTGGCAGCTTTAGATTATTCCCTTATTAAAAAGATAGCAATCTTTATATCATGATTTTTTTAAAAAAAAAAAGAGAGTTGGAAAGGTTAAAATAATGAAGAGATAACAAAGTTGTTTTCATGATTTGACACCATTGCACATAGATCATTCAAGCAAATGCGTACTGGAAAATAGTAGGAAATATGGAAGACAAATATATACTTTAATAACAATGAAGAAAATAAACTTCAAGACTAGCTAGTATGATTAATCCAAGCTAATAGAGCAACAAAACAAACCTTCTGCATTAACCATCAATACAAAAAAAAAAAATACTAAAATAGTAATCTCTATTCTAAGAACCTAAAAAATATACTAGAAGCCATATATAAATATAGAAAATCCATTATAATTTCAAACAAACGGTGCAAACTCATATTTCTAAAAGTACTATAAGTTTAGAGATAAAAAATATAAAGATCGAACGCCCTCTTAGGTGTTTATCCTGATTTTATTATCATATTTGGTTTTTCTATCTTTTGAAAGAAAGGGCAATATATTTATCATAATTGGTCTCACATATTTGGCTAGTTCCTTTGTTGGGAGGAAAATGTTTGAACTTCTATAAATTGAGGATCCTTCCTTCTCATCAGTAGCATTCACAATGTAGCTATAAGGGGGTTTGAGAGGCTTGTTTCGGGGGAGAATTTCGAGACAAGTGTTAGTCTATCACTCGTGTTTGCTTCTTCGTGAGGTTGTTCCCTCAATATTTTGTACTCTCTTTTATATAGTGGATTACTATCTCCGCTTGCGGACGTAAGTCAATTGGTCGAACCACATTAAATGTTTGTGTCACTTTTAGTATATTTCTCTTTTGTTGTCAAATTTATCGTAGTTTCAAGTTTGCTTTACTTGTTTCCACATGACACCTGATTATTTCGATCCTAATAATTTCATGCTCTCCATTACACAACTTCATCCACCAATGACTCACAAAACCGCCTACTCATAATCACGATAATAAATAGACGACGAGAAAGGAAATTTAACACCTAGATTTTTTAAAACATATAAGTCATTATAGACAGGGGCGGAGGTAGAGTGTGGGATACAGGATCAGCCGAATCTAGTAATTTTTGTTCATACCATGTATTTGTCTTAAGAAATTTATTGAAATGTACAACTTATTAATTTAGAACTCAGTAACTTAAAATGATTGCAATTCCGAACCCATAAATTTCAAATCCTGGCTCCGCCTCTGATTGTAGAACTACTGGCCTACTGCTAATGAATTTAACAACTGGGATTTTAAGTTCAACAGCAGCTTTTGAAGCCCATGGTTGGAGAAAATCATAATAAAATCAATAAATCAGGGTTTAGGGTTTTCAAGATTAGGGTAAAATCAGGACTAGCCAAATCAAAAGCTTCTTCAAGAATGTTCATGAGATGGGGTAGGAGACCATTTGTGGTGTGGTGACAAGGAGGAAGAATATATTGGTAAAGTTTTGAGATGAAGTTCCAAAAATTGAATTGATTGTGAAAATTCTGGGTTTTTTTCTTAATGGAGTTTAGGGTTACTGGTGTAAAACATAAGTAAAGTTGCATGGATTCTAAGATAAAAATTTATTCGCATCGATTGTTTATACCAAGCCAATGAATATAAGACATGCTATACACCTTTTAGCATTTAATCATGGTTAACTGATATGCATTTTCTACTTTTATTTGTTAATTATTAAGATTAATTATTTAATTAGGTGTAAACACTCGGTGTGAACAAGTATTTACCGTGGATGACGCGGTTAATAATTATTGCATGTCTTGCGTCAATATATGTATATGTATAATCGATACTTTCGTTTATACGGTGACAAAGTGTATACAGAATGACAATTAACCATACAAATATTAGGACAGTAAGTGAATATGAACAAGTTACTGTGTGGGGAATGTGGGACTTTCCCACATCGGTGGTCTAAAGCTATTTTATGGGCTTTTTAAGTTCTTGTCCATTTATCATGTTTACTTAAGAATACACACTATTAAGTGTGTTAAATATTTGGGTCGGGCCGGTTATTAAATTAATATTTTTATATTTTTTATTTCTATAACAGAAAATGAGTTTTATATTCAAATAAACAGGCACATCTGTTAATGAAATAAAGTGACTTTTGGGCAAAAGACCTAACTTTTGCTCTATAATTCAGAAAAATCTGCAAATATCAAATAGTGGCTTGTTATACGGGCAGTAACTTCTTTGAGAAAAGTCGTTCTCACGCCTCAAACCTTCTCAATCTCGTTTTTTCAATTACTGCTTTTCTAACAGTTACTTCGGCTTGAACACGGAATAAGCTCCACAAAATAGAGATTAAATTATTATTTACAAGGAAAAAGTAAACAAAATAGGAGATTTAATGAATAATATATATTAAGTATTATATGACATATCGAGTAATTTTTTCAACAAAAAGAAAATGACGCATATGTGCTAGCTAGTGAAACTATAAAATTCATACCAATGTCAAATCTATCTCCATGGCTCTACCTTGCGGGCATAGCCGCGAAGTGCTTCAAGCTTGCTAAATACAAACATGTGCGCAAGCTGGCCCGAACCACACCATAATTAGAAGAACGGCAATGGGTCAAATATACCCCTGTACTTTCGAAAATGGTCTAAGAATACCCCTCGTTATACTATTGGGTTATCTATACCCCTGTTGTCATACTTTGGAACAAAAATACCCCTATTTTGGGTGGAGTGCCACGTGACAGCACCAGATTAAAACGACCTTTTTTTTTTACCCGACCCGATTTTCACCCAAAGTAGAAAAATTCCTCAATCTATGTCCTAACTTTAAATTTTAAAATATTTTTATTTATACTTCTCGTTTATTTTTAATGATAAGTTTGTATAATACACAAATTTTTAATCTGAAGATTCAAATTTCAAAAGTTTACAAGTGTTATAATATTCTTAACCTTATGTTTTAAAGTATTATTTTTCTAAATTCAATGTCGAATCAAAATTTACCAAGTAAATCGAAATAACCCGTTGATTAATGAATTAAAAAAAAGTGAGAAATTAGAATTTAGTCGTAGAAATGATAAAACACTAAGATGATTTTGTTTCTATACTTAACTCTCAGTAAGCAAATATTAAGGAAATTTTTTACCTTAGGTGAAAATTGGGTCGGGTGGTGGGTTTTTCTAAAACAGATCGGGTAAAAAAAGAAATCAGTCGTTTTAATGTTGTCCTACCACGTGGCACTCCATCCACAATAAGGATATTTTTGTTTCAAAGTATGACAACAGGGGTATAAATAATCCAATAGTATAACAAGGGGTATTCTTAGACCATTTTCGAAAGTATATGGGTATATTTGGCCCTTTGTCGTTAAAAGAAATATTGAATAATACTACCCCTGTATCAATTCATGTGTATGTCACATTCCATAAATCATTCATGAGCAGGCAACTAAATGTATAAATCCTTAACATATGATGACAATGTTATTACACAGAACAAACCACTTCAAACATCCATCCAAAAATGCTCATGTTGGCAAACAGATATTCATCCCTATTACGACAAGGCAAAACACAGTGTTATACTACTACATCAACATTTGTTGCAATCTGTTCAATTGTAACTTCCAAAACATTTCAGTCGAAGTTCACGATCTGATTAAATCTACTTGTTTGGTTATCCAAATACATGTAGACTACTTCTGCTTTAGGTGATGCACGGAAAAAGTTTGAGAACTCGGCGAATATTTCTGATCTTCTGTCAAGAGATATGAGATTTTTGATACATAGGTACGATGGATCAATTAGCACTCTTACCAACACTGGGGACTTGGCTAAGAAAAGCTTGATAAGCTGCATTTCATGTGTCATTCCTGAAAAGATTTTTAGCTTAACTTCCTTGAGGTGATTAAATATCACATCCGAGAAACGTTCGAGTTCAAGCGATTCTACAACACCAGCATCATGTAGATTAAGAACCTAAGAAACATAAAAAGAAGTCAACTCCCAGGTTATTGAGGATCTAAGAACAACAACAACGTCTCAGTGTATTCCCACAAGTAGGGTCTGGAAAGGGTAGGATGTACGCAGCCTTATTCCTACCCGGGAAGGGGCAGACAGACTATTTCCAGAAGACCCTCGACTAAAGAAAAGATGAAGAAGCACTGATAGCAAGTAATAACAATACAAGATATTTAGAAAACTAAATCCAAGATAGCAAAGGATGAGATGAAAGAAGTACTGATCACAAGTAATAACAGTAATTGAGGATCTACAAAGTATGAAGAAACAACAACAACCCAGTATAATCTCACTAGTGGGGTCTGGGAGGGTAGTGTGTACGCAGACCTTACCCCTACCAAAGGTAGAGAGGCTGTTTCCAAATAGACCATCGGCATCCTTCCCTCCAAAAACTCCCCACCTTTGCTCTTGGGGTGACTCAAACTCACAACCTCTCAGTTGGAAGTGGGGATTGCTTACCACCAGAGCAACCCCTCTTGTCTAAAAGTATGAAGAAAAAGCCACTAAAAATAAGAAAGAGAGAAAAGAGTCAAAGCACTAAGAACCTCAGTTTCGAATGACTCCAAGTATGAGAAGCTTCTTATCAAGCAAAGATAATATGACAACTTATATGATTCCCTCGGATTCATATAAGGCACGTAAAAATGCTTGACACGATTATGATCAAAGGGAAGCCTTGTTGGTGCTTGATCTGCACATGCATAATCAAACTAAGAAAAAGAATATCAAAATTCAAGATGACTCAGCCCAAAAGAAGTTCGATGTGTTAATACGTGCATAACAATGAAATCATAAAGCAACATCTACCTTGTCACCAAAGTACAAGCTGACGTGCTCGAGAGCAAAGCAAGACTCGAAAAATTTTGCAAGATAAAAGTTCTCTGCTTCCACAGAAGAACCTTGATATAAGTGCAGAGATGCTTTTGTCAGAAGAGGGACATTCTTTAGACAGAGAGAACTTATACTGCCTGTGAAATCAAAGGATTTCAGCATGGGGGCATTAATCTCAATTATGTTTAAAATTTCTGAGACTTGCAACACCAACCGCTCAAGCAACGGGCAATGATTTATTAAACTTTCGAGCAACTCAAAAGAAATTGTGACCCTACACAATTCCAGGCTAACTAAACTTGAAAATCCTTTAAAGGCTGATGGAGGATGTATTGAGCAATCATGAAGAGTCAAATGCCTAAGCTGCGAACATTCAAAAAGTGAAGAAGGCATTTTGTATATCTTTTGCCATGGAAAGTGAAGAACAAGATGTTGAATGTCATTCCTCGAGAGGAAATATATGAAGTTGTCAATCGTAGGACATCTTTTCGAATCAACAACGTCGAGCTTGAACTTATTAATGGGTCCTTCATGAAGGGTCAAAATTTGATATATAATCTTTGTAAATTTAACTGTAGGGGATAGTTTATCCTTTTTTGTTTTCCAAAGAGATTCATCAAGCTTCAACTTTGTAAGTCTACACCAGTGATACCTCCATTTTTTTGATAAGATGCTTGTTCTCACAGCATCTTTACAAGGCAAACGCATCAGAATGACATCGATTACATTATCAGGAAGGTTGCTAATGACGTCAGGACCTAAACTTCGACGATTCTTTCTTCCTTTAGGAGGCATCATATAAGAATAATCACCAAGAACCTATAGAAAATAAGCAATAATACAAAGTAAGGAATCTCCAAACTATTCACATTGTCAAACCAACAAAAGAAATAAAGGTGCATTCGAGTTGAATTCAGTCAACTATCTCCTCTAGTATCAATGTATACGGATATTCCAATGTGACACCCTAGGCGAATCCCACATCGACAAAACATGGGAGAGATGTTAGGTATATAAGTAGACAAGTCTTAGACCCTGGTGACGCATTTTAAACCCATGAGGGCCTAGACCTAAAGCGGATAATATCACTATCGGGCTGGGCTGTTACATCTTATTTGCCTTGAGATACCCATATCAGGCTAACAGAGTGGCTATTAGAATTTCTAACACCTCTACTGGATATTTAACATAGCTTAATATCCATTAATTGCATTCTCACGACAAGAAGAAGAACAACAACAACAACCCAGTATAATCCCACAAGTAGGGTCTGGGGAGGGTAATATGTACGCAGACCTTAACCTTACCCCAAGGGGCACGGAGGCTGTTTTCAGGAGACACTCGGCTCAAGAAAGCGACAAGATACGATATATTAGTACTATCAATAGACTCATAATAAAATAACATAAAATAACATAAAATAAAGCCCTGCAGGAAGTACGAAAAAGACGGAAGATATAATAATATCCGGCAGATAAAGCCCTGTATCCTAAGACTAAATCATAACTGGCTAGTCTCACTTTAGTGAGCTGTTGAAATGCTCACAACCTTCTCTAACCTACAACCTTAATGATCGACGCCACAATTCCCTGTCAAGAAGAACCTTCTATCAATAATTCAAAAATACATTTTTGGGTTCAAAAGGAAAAATGCAAAGAACAGAAATAAATGTCAAAGCATAAAAACCAGAATAATTTCCAAGATTTGGTCTTTTTTTTCTAAATTAAGCTGAAGAACCTATAATTGCAATAAACACCAATTAAAAAGAGGTATTTACATTTTAAGCAATTATTTAGAGCCCGGGGGGGGGGGTTGTACATTTTGAAGCGTACCAAGACGTAGGAATACCGATAATGTCAAATCTTCAACTGTTCTGGACACTTCAATTTGACCTTTCAACTCTTTAGGGTTCATCGCCAATTCAAAGAGAAAGAGGATTTATTTAAAGGGCAAAGGTACAAATTGGCCCTGAACTTTGCAAATGGTTCAAATTTGTCCTCCATTAATGGTTATTGTCAGATCTACCCTTGTCGTTATAAAGAAATTATATGTTAAATTTGCTGGAACTCCATCACCAATCCTTCTTGATCACCCACCACTCGCCGGAGCTCCACATCGACCTCCAAATACTAAGGGTTTGTTTGGAAAGTCACATGGTAATTGGAATTGAGTATAATTATTAGGGTAATAATTATACAATTTAATAATTATATAGTATTGTAATTACAATGACCTATTTGATTGTCATGATGTAATGACAGTCTAATTACAGATGTACTGTATGGTTGCATAAATATAATCATACAGTTAGATTAAATTTTAAATATAAAATTAATTATTAAAAATAAAAATTAAAAGCTAAGATTTAACAAATATAAGCCTTTATAAATAATAGTAAATTTTACATTTAAGATAGATATTGTTTCTTGACAATATATTAATTACTAATTATATATTTGTAACTAATATTATAAAAGTAAATGATATATATATATATATATATATATATATATATATTTCAAATTAATAATATTTTACTTTAATCAATTGTAAGAACTAAAAGTACATATTTTGTAAGAACATCATGGATAATATTTATAAATATAATACCATAACACTACTCAAATATTTTAGGAAAAAGTAATCTATCAACCTTAACTGAAAAATGAATGGCTTACATTTGAATTAATAAGTGAATACTTTTAAAGAAAATAAAATAAAAGTGGAAATATAACATAAAATTCAAAATTCAGAAAAAATTAACATAATACTCTTTTGTAAAATTACAATATAATCTAAAATAATTTTCAATGTAGTTTAAGTAAATATAATTCAAAAGTAAAGGAAAACATAATTTTATAACCTCATTCAACAATGAGATTCTATTTTAATCACATCAATCACTATATGCTAAGTTTATTAATGATGCATTACTTCTAATACTAGGAGGAGTGGTTTCAAAACTAAAATTACAGCACAACTATGCTAAATGAAGAAAATAATAATAAAATAAAAAATACGAGCAACTACATGGAATCACAAAAAATAAAGGTTAAAAAATGAGAATATTATTTAAATATTAAAAAGTAATCTATCATTATACCACAGTTAAGTTTGCACGTAACCTCATCCAATAATAAAGTTCAACTTTAATGATATCACTCATTATAAGTCAAGTTTATGAATGACTTATTCTTTCTAAGATTACGGGGTATACCTTTTTAGAAAAATTAGAATAATAACATGGCTAAATGTAATAAAAAAAATAAAAAAATATGAGAAATTATATAGAAACACGTGAGGTTCGAAAATGAGAATAAGGAAATAAAAAAAATATTGTAAAACTAATACTTAAAAAAGAATTTAAAAACTTAAGAAAATTAAAAAGAAAAAAATAGAAATAAAAGTCAAATCATAAAGAAAAGAAAAGATATTCAAAAAATAACCTTGTAATTACACCATGTAATTGTAATTACCAACAATTGTCAGCTCCCCCTTGAGAATTGTATAGTATAATTACACCCTCTCAATTACACTCAATTACATGCTAACCAGGTACTCCCTCCGGTCCAAAATAAGTGATTTTATGGCCTTTTTCTTGTGGTCCAAAATAAGTGATTTTTCCAGATTTCAAGAATGAATTAATTATTTTTTTCCTACATTGTCCTTAGAGTAAATAGTATTGGAATATGTGTTAGGAGTGTTTATGTGAGATAGTAAAGGTTAATATGGTCAATTCTATTGCTAATTAATGCTAAAAGATGGATTTCTTAATCTGTGTAAAAACATTCAAAAAATCACTTATTTTGGACCGGAGGGAGTAGTTACTTAGTCAGACAAACATGTCAAAACTGTGTAATTACACCCAAATCCAATTTCATGGTGACTTTCTAAACAGGCTCTAAGTGGGCATTTGGACATAAGAATGGTAAAATTCCGAAAAAGGTAAATAAAAAAAAATCAAGTAAAAATGATATTTAAAAATTAGAGTCGTTTTTTGAACATGAATATAATCTTAGGTTGTTTTTGAATTTTTGTAAGTGATGTGAATGAAAATTTTAAAAAACAACTTTTTGGAGTTTTTAAAATTTTCGAAAAAATCTAAAATTCATTTTCAAGTGAAAATTAAAACTTTTATGGTCAAACACTAATTTCGGAAAAAAAGTTAAAAAACAATTTGATGGCTAAGCGGCTCTAAAACACTCACGTACCTAAGGTCAATTTTGGATTATTTAGTAGAGTTCAAGGCAATTTTGACCCTTTATTAGTAGAAAAATATCTTCTCTTACACCAAACACAACAACCGTAACATTACGGGAGAAATTCAAAAATAGCCAGATTTACAACTGATCGTTTAAAAATATTCCAGTTTTAAAAGTAATCGAAATTTAGCCACTTTTTATGTAAAGATAAATCTGAGCGAAAACACTGTTCAAAACCCGGAAAATACGCCAGTATATTATACTGGAGTTCCAAGCATACTCCAACATACTATACTGGAGTTCCAGAATAAGTATGCTGGAACTCCACCATAATATGATGGAGTTCCAGCATAAGTACACTAGAACTCCAGCATAATATACTGGAGTTCCAACAAGTATAATTGTCCAGTATAATATAGTAGAGTTTGGAGCGCCGGTGCTCCAGTCTCTAGTATATTATACTGGAGTCAGCAAAATATATCGGTCCAGTATAATATGTTGGAGTTCATACACAGGTGCACCGAACTTCAGTATATTATGCTGGACCGGTCTCTATTGCAACAAAATAGTAGCTATTTTTCATTGACTTCGTAAACGCTGGCTATTTTTGAATGACCGGTCCAAAAACTGGCTATACCATGCTATTTTTACTAACATTACACCATGAATATTGTTGGAAAAATACAACAAAGTACAGTAAAAAAATAAAATGAAGAAAATCAAATAAATATTCTTCAGGTTGAAGCGCGAATATCTCGCTCTCTTTAAGGAGATTCAGGGTTGTTGCGGTAGAATTTTAATTTACCGGTCCATCAACAATACTCTTAACTTGTCACGTTCATGACACAATAGCTTGACAATGTCGTATGACTCAAAGAACTCCGAACTAGTTGTTGCGTCCAAAGCTCGACCACAAAAAAATACCTTCATTCGACAAAATAATATTCTCTTTTCTAGTGAATAAGTTGGAGATATAAAAAAATAAAAAATCTCTCAAATCTCTCTTTTTTACCACACCAACTTTTTGATAATTATTAAACCTCATTACCAAAATTGAAAATGTATGTACAGATATTTTAAAAAAAACATCAGCTTTAGGACATTTTCTACAAGCATGTTGTGTAATGCATTGCAACTCATCGCCCCAATATATTGCATTCCTTCTAATTAAACTTCTGCCAAACAATCGCATATACCTCACCAGCGAAACAAAAAATATTTCACGGGTGTTCAAACTATAAAAAAAAATAATAATAAACTCCGACAAAAGGTGTAAATATATATTATATAGCAGCAAACAACGGAGAAGCTAGGCTAAAAAAAATTCTAGATGATGATGTTAACCTAAGCATGAAAACTAACCACAAAATCCACTCTACCTTCTCTCTAGGAAGACTGTGAATAGTGACGCTGTCACTATTCACCGGATCATAACTCCGTCGTCCCGCAGTGGAAAATTACAAGATTGGTGTCAAAAGAACCTCCTACTCTTTGCGCACAATCCCCAATTGGTTTCATAGTCAAAGTCATAGCCAATTGTTCTAGATCTTAATTTCTTTTTTCGCGTGCACTGTAGCATCGAGAATTTCCAGAAATTCAGTTCTTCATCAGATGTTTTGACGAGAATTGAGGCAGCCATGGATGCTGCGAGCTCTCCCCAGCCTTTGGCTGTGGGAGAGACAAATCAAAATACTAATGAAACAAATCCAAACATGATGCCAAAACAATCCTATGATGCATTGATTCAAAAAACGAAATCTGCTGCAACCTCGTCAAAACTGGAGTTAACTCCTGTCCATATGGTTCATGGAGAACCAACTGTAGAATTCACAGTCGAAGAGGTGAACACTTTCACCATCGAAGAAGGACTGCATCAGGCAGTAATTCTCAAATTTTCATATGGCAAACCAGATATTCAAGAGTTACGACAGTTAATTCTGAAACAATTCAACGTCAAAGGTTATTGCAACGTTGGACAGCTAGAATTTCGTCATATCTTGGTACGTTTTGATCTCTTTGAAGATTATGTTCAGGTTTTGTAAAGATCTACTGGGTATGTTAAGGCGAAGGGAGATGAATTTTTCGTTAGGACGTTTCCATGGATGTTAGGATTCAATCCTCGTGAAGAAACTTCAAGAGCTGTGGCATGGATTTCTTTGCCTGATTT